GGCGGCCGGACAAGGGGCTTTTCAGGAGGACCCTGCCAGGAGCCCTAACCGCCACAGGTGGGAACATCTCTCCAGCTCCTGAATATTCATCTCAGCCTGGGCTGCAAAACGCGGCAAAGCCAGGCCCAGCCGTCCAGCAATAGCATGGCCACGCTGCTGACAGAGCTGGGAGCAGCCTGCTCGCTCCAGCGTCTGTGCACTGTGCGAGTGAAAGGGGCTTTTCAGGAGGACCCTGCCAGGAGCCCTAACCGCCACAGGTGGGAACATCTCTCCAGCTCCTGAATATTCATCTCAGCCTGGGCTGCAAAACGCGGCAAAGCCAGGCCCAGCCGTCCAGCAATAGCATGGCCACGCTGCTGACAGAGCTGGGAGCAGCCTGCTCGCTCCAGCGTCTGTGCACTGTGCGAGTGAAACCTCTTCCCAGAGCCGAACCACCAGCTTCCTCACAGTCTGAGGGGTCAGGGTCTCTGGAGAGCCTTTGTGACCTTGAATCTTTAAAGGAGCTCTGTGCTGGTGTACTCTGTCTTTGCTTTGTGTCTCCAGCTACCTCTTCCTCTCTCTGTTTTTACTCTCTCAATCTCCAACTATTTACAGGACTTTGTCACATCAAAAAGCATGCAATGCTCTCAGAGCCTTGCTCCTTTAGCAGGATTCAGTGTGTACCCAGTTCTTCCTCCTCTCCTCCATTCTTTCGTCTTTAGTGTCCTTTTTAGGTGGAGTAGCCGTAGTCCTTGTGCTGGGAATACCCAGTGACCCAGACATCAGCCATTCCAGGGTCACACTAGAAATCACAAAAAGGTTTATGACATTACAACTAGGTCCCTAGTCTTTGTATCTGCTAGACCTCCAGCACTTCCTTCCTCAGCTATCAGGAAGGTCACAGGCCTCTGCACAGTCTGAGACCCAGCCAGCAGCTCCTTCAGCATGTAGTTTTACATGCCTTCGTTCAGTTTCTGCCCCACATTTCATTTCTAACAGAGCCTAGGTGACTGGTGGCTGAACTGAGCAAATGATAACACATGTCATAAGAAGCAAATTCTTGCCAGTCTTAGGATGATGGCAAGTAGGCAGCAGGGTTTAGTGTAGCTGACTTCTTTCAGCTTCAAGGTTGTGTTCAAATGCACGTCCATGGCTATGGAGTCCTACCCAGCCCAAATCTGCTCCTCTTGCAAGATTTCTTTTGACCCCAAGCTTCAAAGCTTTATTGTCTTGTTTTAATATTAAACAATATATTTTTAATATATTGCTAAATAACTCTCTTGTGTTTTCCTCTAATAAGAAACAGGCTGTTTCATATCTGTGAAGCGAGAGAACCTTTGTCTCTAGTGAGAGGAGAGTGTAACACTCCACACTTACTGCTGCTGCTTTCTCTTGTTGCAGACATTCCAGTGATCCCCGACTTGGAGGAAGTCCAGGAGGAAGATCTGGCCATGCAAGTGGCAGCTCCCCCCAGGTAAGAGCACTGCCAGGTGTTCTTGAGGCTCTCATCAGCAGTGCGAAATGGCTGGTGAAATTAAACTCCATCTTATCTCATGCTCTCTGCATGTCAGTGGCAGG